GCTTGCTTGCTTGCTTGCTTATTTATTTATTTAGGAAGCTTCTATGTCGCCCCATTCGCCAAAGCCTTGGGGTGGCTCACAACAATAAATAATCATAATATAAAAACAATATAATTTGAGATGACCTTGGAAGGTGGTGGTGGTTGTTGTAAAGACGGGAAAGATAACCACAAGGTTCCTCTTTGTCGACTGGTCTGATGTGGCAAAACTTCAGCAGATGCTCAGCGGGCGCCATTTCAATGAGTTTCAGAGGATAAGCTCTCTTTCCCCCGTGTTTTCAGTTGGGTTCCTCATGCCACCTAGTGCTAAACAATTAGTCCACACTGATTTTGATTAGACAAAAGATAGCTTTGACAGGCAATGCCAAACCTTGTAAGTGGTACAAACGGAAACTACCCAATATAGCTGCCTGGTTTAAGGGTGCAGCCCTATGCATCTTCAGAGAGATAACAGTCCTATAGCTCCAATAGTTAAACTATGGATTTTGCTGCCATGGGAAGTAGTAGCGAGCGGCAAGAGGGTGCCCACGGGCACCCTGGGTGGTGAGCAGTGAGCTGAAAAATGGACTCAAAGAGCTCCTGGGCTGCGTTTTGGCCACCCCAATACATGGAATAGGCTCCAGGCCACCATCTGGATGGAGATTCTAACAGGTGGGGCTTTCAAGGTGTGAATCCCCCCCCCCCCCCGGTGTGTCTCCTTTATGGGGAGGAGTGGGGAAATAAGCCAGAGCTGCTAGATACAGATCTGTATGCTTTGGCCTTAGGCCAGGGGCTTTGTGGCATGTTCAAAGGGTGCTGGGATCCAACCCCGTGACTGCCAGGCTGGGCAGAGGATTCCGCTCAGGATCCGGGGCAGGCATGAGGATTAGGTCTGGCCAGAAGCGCTGCAGCACCGGCAGTTGCCCACCTGTGCCACGTGCTGACATCCGCCCTGGCTATCCTGGGCTTTCGTGTTACATGGAAAGGCCCCTCAGCTGTTCGATGCATGATGTGTTCTTAATTTGCACCCTGCATTGCCAGGGTGCTTTGGGAGGATCACTCGCCGAGATTCGGCCAACAGGACCTTCCCTTGTTTGTGTGGCTTTTATTCTTAAAGAGGAACGGGGGGGTGCGGGGGGGGGGGCGACCGTGCAGGAAAAGAATGGCTCTAAGAACTGCATGAGCGAATAACAGGCAGGACTGGGAGATTTTTCCGTATTCTCTCCACCCACCTCCATTCCTGAAATTCTTCCCCCTGGAAGGCTCTCTCCGAAGAATGCACACACACTGGGAGCAACTCCCGCCGCCGAAAGTTTCGCTGGGGAGGCAAGATGGAGGGCGACTCTGCCAGGGCGGTCTGGAAGCTGCTGCCCATGCAGAACTTCGGCTGCGTTGCCCAGTGGGCTGAGCCTCACACCTGTGCGGAAGGATGACTGTGCCTATTTGCCGTTGGGCCAGGTAGATGGTTTGGCAGCTGGTACAGGAAGCCCCTGGATCAAGTCCAGCCAGAGTTTTCCCCAGAAGCAAAAGCAACCAGACTGATGCTATCCTGTTCGGGCACCTCACGGGCAGGCAAGGCTTCCTGGAGAAGGCAGTCGGGCTGGGGAAAGTGGCCAAGAGCTGAGCACAACCGTCACAGCTCTGACAATTTGGAGGACTTCCATTCACAGGATTGCCATAAGCTGAGAATATGGAGAATAAGGAGAACATGACGCCTTGATCAACTTGGGAGCCAGACACTGGGTCCTTATAAAGCCCCCCGCCCCCGTGTCCTTTAGGATGAGGGAGGCCTGCTTATCACTCAGTGGCAGAGCCTTATTTTATTTATTTATTTTATTTATTTATTAAAACATTTCTATGCCGCCCCTTGCTGAAGCCTCTGGGCGGCTTACAACACAAAAAATACAATAAAATACAAAAATATCAATATAAAATTAAAATTAACATAAATAAACAATATAAAAGAAGTCACCCTGGCCAGATAAATAAGCAAATATTGTTAACAATTAAAATGACGTTTAAATAAAAAGGTCTTCACCTGGCGCCGAAAAACAAATAACGATGGCGCCAGGTGGACCTCTCTGGGGAGTGCATTCCATAGATTCGGTCTCGCTCCCAGGGCTAGAAAAGGATCCTGCCTGAACCCTGGAGACCGCATGGCTGCTGCCAGTCAGTGTCTGCACTGGCTTCCTGTGTTCTGATAAGGCCCTCCAGGTGGTCCCGCATTTAACACACACACACACAGACAATGTAGTGTAGTGGTTAGAGCGCCGAGATCTGGGTTCTAGTCCCCACTCAGCCGTGGAGCTCACTGGGTGACTTTGGGCCAGTCACAGATTCTCAGCCAAACCTACCTTGCAGGGTTGCTGTGAGGATAAGAGACAGAGGAGGATCAGGTAGACCCCTTCAGGTTCATTCTCAGGGGAAGGCAGGACAGAAATATGAGCCTAACACAAATTAAAATAGTAGCGTGCACTATGTGGAAGAAACTTCTCTCTGAGATTAGATCTGTGCCAACTGTTTTCAGGTGCAACCTGCTCTAGTCTCTTTCAGGTATGCAGATTTTGTGGGTGTAGCTCAGCCTACCAGTTTTGATGGCTGTGTAGGTAAAATGAGACCACAGAGCAGAGGCAGGTCTGGAGCCCCGAATCTCTGGCAGACACTCAGCCCCACCGCCCTGCCAGCAGGCCACGGGCACCTGATGAAGAGTTCAGAAGCCCCAAGCAGTTCAGTTGTATCTGATCCTCCTTGATGTGAACTTCTGGCTCACAGGGCCTTCCCCCCCCTGCTTGCCCACCCCCAGCCTTTCTGCCTGGGTTTTCCCCTGAAGAAATGCCCACTTCTCCTTTATTCATACATCCCTTTTTACAAACACAGGTGTCCTTAGGAAACCTGTAAACACAGACAGACTTTGTGCATATGCAAATCTGAGCATTTATTTGTACTGTGAACCTGAATCCTGGATCTTTTTAATGCTTAGCACAGCCAGTGAGAAACGTGCTGGATAAATGTTTGCAGAAGCAGAAAAAACTGGAGGGGAGGGAAATGGGTGTCCCTCCCCACACACATATGAACAAAGCAATGCAACAAGGACATGCTTGTTGTGTACAAGATGCTGAGCATCTGTTGTGCTTGTGAGGAACGGGGAGAGAAAAACGGAGGCAAGGTGGAAATGACATGGATTGCCCCAGAAGAGGGTGCAGCCAAGCTTGGCATTTGGAAGAGGAGCATTCCTGTTAGAGGTTGAGAATATGCTGTAATATTTTGTTACATGCCCTATTTACTGGTTTTGCTACCAGGCCACCTTCAAATTTACAGTACTGTCAGACTATAAACAACTTATTTTTTTAAAAGAAGTTTTATTTAAAATTATAATCCTAAAAAACAAAAAAAACTACAAACAACATCCATCATCAAAAACATCGAGCCCGCTGGGTCAACCCCCACACCCTTCTTTTTCCATTTATGAAAACTTTAAAAACATATTTAAATCTATGCGAAGTCCCGTTTCTCTAGCCAATAATAGAAAAGCCCCAAGTTTGATAGAAGTTGACTATAAACAACTTATGAGACGGATTCCTAGGAGAAGGCCTTCCATTACGAATGCCCAAGCAACCAAACTGAAGAGAGCTCTTGTCGGCCATTCCCAGATTATCAAAATATGACCATGTAGTGTCATCCTCCTTGTCGAAAAAACTCCCCTGTATCATTTGGGAGGAGGAAAATGTGGTAGCTTTTCACTGACTCCAGAAAATGCACCTGTTCACACTGGCTTACCCTGGTCCATGATTCAACTGTGATGCTTTACTGTCCCTTTACTGCTTACTATTATTATGACTTATGACATGCACATTTTATGCAAACTGGCTTCCTTTTGAGTCCCTTCTGTGACACTGTATTTCCTCTTTTCTGGGCTTCATCTCTGGCAGGACCTACATGAAGGACTGGGACAAATGTAGAGGAAAGCACCCAATTGTTTTGAAGTTGGTTTTTCAAAGGACAAACGCCCAGCAGGAGAGCCCTGTGAAGTCAGAAACAAAGTGTACAGAAAAGAGAAAGAAGCAAAAATAACACGAACCAATGGCTTGTCTGACAGGCCAATGCTATCCACATTTAGTTTTGCAGCCTGAGGTTGCGCTGCTATGCCTACTTACCTGGGAGTAAGTGCCAGTAACTCGATAGGACTTTTGATTAGGGTCACACAGATTGTACCACATAGTGTGTGTTCAGTGAGTATGTCTCGATTCCTGATGAGTAAGGAAGAGTCTGAATGCAAATAATGAACCAAAAAGCAAGCGAGAACTGGACGCAGAGACACAAAAGCAAAACCCACGTTCGCCGTTTCCACCTGTGTATCACCTCGCCTTTCAACAATCAAGCCCTCCCAAACCAGTCATCATTCAGAGTAATCGTGTGCCTTACTGGGCGGACAGAGAGACCCTCTTTTCTCAAGCCTTGTGTACAATAAGGACTTTGGGCACATACGCAGAGTGCAAATGAAGCGGGTGAGTTCGGCCGGACGCGCTCGCACTTCAAGGCAAGGGCCCGTGCGGTGCAGGGACCCGGGCTCCTACCGCGGCGACGCGCGAAACCGCGCGAGCCCCCCGGAGGGGAAAAGCGGCGGGACAGAAGAGCCTAGACGCGCTTCCGAGGGACCGCGGCACGCGCCGCGCGGAACCGGCATCGGCCTCCCCGCCCGCCTGCGAGGGCTGCGCGGGGGACGGGGGACGGGGGGGCGGGCGCTCCCCGGGCCTCCTCCCGAGCCCGCGCCGGCCGGCCGGCCGGGAAGCGACGCGCGG